TGCCTGTGTCCTACTTATTCCTTTGAGACAAAAACATGTTGGTAATCTATTTCTTTCATAAAACTAATTTTGTGTACTGAAATTATAAACTGATGGTAAAAAGGTATATGTAAGCTTGATGATTTTCATATTTTACGATAAATACATACTACATATTACATGCTGCTCTGAAATTTAGGTTTTTCATATTAGAAAAAAAAATGGTTTCAAAACCTTAAATGTACTGTGGCCAGATTAAGAAATTTCTGAACAGCCGACATTTTAGAGACACAGGGTTTTCACCTGACAGGGACAATATTATTATATAACCCATAATCATTTCACCTCTGTTTCTTTTGTTCAGTAGTGAAGGAAATATACAAATCTTTAACTTAAGTAAAATATACAAATACAACAATGTAAAATGACATTAAAATTACAGTTACAAGTAAAAGTCCTACATTTAAAACCCTGTGATCTCACTGCACAAGTCCATATTATCATCAAAATATACCTAAAGGTTCAAATGTATATGTGTCTATTCCTCAGAAAGATGACCTCTATGACTGATATACAGTATTATTATACTACATATAAGTGGAGTAAAAAGTACAGCATTCCCTTTTGAAATGTAGCAGGAATATGAAGTAGCATGAAATGGAAATATTCACAGTACAACTACCTCAAAATTGCAGTCACATACAGCAGCTAAACAAATGATCTTAGATACTACTCTGGCACTGCTTTTCTTCTTTTTGTATTCCAGTGTTGTGCCTACATTATGGTCATATGATTCTTTTGCCATCATGACAACCTTATTTCCCCAACAGAGACACTCTAATCATATCCAGTAAACATATTTATCTGCATTTGCCCATGTTGCATGAAACTGGCTATTTGTTACTGTACAAGCAGTTTTAAGTGAACCTACTTATCACTTCATCAAAAAAACCCAGAGCATGCTAATAACACCTCTAATAACTCAAACAAATAAGAGATGGGAATGGGACTAACTCTATGCCACAGATACTTGGTAGAACAAGAGATGTAATAGCTAACCGTATCTATTTGGAGAGTTTCATAGTCAGACCAGACAGTGTAAAATTAAAGTGTCTTTCAAAGCATCATAACAAGTGGTGGCTGTATCCTTGGCTACCCATGTGTCTGTGCTGCTGCTGGGTGGTAAGTAAGTGGTAAGTATTCATTGAAGTTTAATGTCTAAAGGCACATTTGTACCTCTTACCTTTGAAGAGCAAATTCCTTAAAAAACTGTTATTTAATTTGAAAGGTTCTGGATATAAATGTGTGAGGAACATTTTCGGATATCATTTGCAAAACCAGTTTATGTTTTTAAAGGCTTTGGGAAAGTTTGACAAAATTGAATATTTTATGTTTGGCATGCATTTAGAG